TTTTCTTGAACAAGAAATAAAACAGAAATAACACTATTTTTGGATTTTTAATTTTCTAATTTTTGTTTGATTTTTGAATTTTCTGATTTTTGTTTGATTTTTGCAATTTTTTTTAATTCTCCCCCTAAATTTGTGCATAGAGGAAAACTATGAACAAATTTAACAAAAACAAAAAAATTTGGGATCAAAGTTGTGAGACAGTCTAAACTTGTTTATCAGTACATTCACCTTCATGAATAAATCTGGTCAATTGTTGGTATTGTGGTCCACTTAAACATGAAGGATATCGACAAAATTTTCAAATATACCATTTAGCTAACGACGACCACGGGTATTGTTGTCCACTTAAATTAAGCAGCGAGATCTACACACAACCTCTAAATGATTCAATTTTAGTTGCACTAGAACGTGTTCCCCACTTCCCGATATACCCTGGTTATCAAGAACTTCCAAAGAACTCCTTACTTTAGGTGAGTAAACAATTATTAAGGAGGAAGACAGATTTAGAGATAGGTGCATATGTTGTGTCCCAGGTCGGATCTCTTTCAATCACGCAGAGGGGACAACATATGACTAACAGAGATAGAGGGATTGAGAGGTAGAATGTTGCATATGCTGTGTCCCAGGTCGGATCTTCCGATCACGCAGAGGGGACATCATATGGCTAACAGATAGAAAGAATTTCATAGATAAGGAGGTGCGTAGAAATAGAGTTGCATATGTTGCATTCCAGGCCAGATCTCTTCCAATCACGCAGAGGAAGCAACATATGACTGACAGATAGAAAGCAAGAAAATAATTTCCTACAGACCTACTTTATCAGAACCCCCCAGTTGCCCTATCAGATCCAAAATTAAGGACATAAGTCCGTACATCAAGGAAAAGTTGAACCACTGTTCTAGATGCGTATTAATTTAGTGTATCCCGTGGGTTCCCGTGTTTATCTCACTGCTCAATCTACCCGAGCGTCGTATGGTCAGTCCAAACAATCCTATCCAAATCCACACTGTCAAATCCTTCATGCCTACCAGCACATTGAACACAGAGTCTAGACAATTCAGATTCAGTCCCTTACACATGTTTTAGACTGCCCGTTATCACTTTCTTGATATCACTTCCCAATAATACCTACAAACAAAAAACTATAAGAAAGAAAAAAAATTGTCTTCAAAATGAATCAGTTTAAGATAAACTCAGGAGTATAGAGAAGAAAACTCAAACCGTAAGTCACCGATTGAATTTGCATCCAGAAGGTCTGAGAACAACACGCATAATCTCAGAACAGATCCAAAAATTCTTCACATCGTTAAGCATAAACCCCATGAGTGATCCCTTCCTTTATTCCTTTCCCGCAAAGGACACATACTCTCAAACAAAGTTCTGAATGTTGTACAGTTGAGAGATGTCCCCTATCATGTGCCTGGAACAGCCACTATCAACAAACCGAAGTCTGATGATATGCCTCCATAGCTGCTCCGACACAGAGCGGGATCAGTTGGTCTTTGGAACCCAATCCATTTTGAAACTGGGTTGACCTTTATCATCAATGCAAGGTACTCTCTCCCATGTCATGTCCTGCTTATCACAAACAGAAGATGGAGAAATATTAGCGTCATTAGATGATTTGGGAGAGTGAACCTTTGGAAGCCATCTGTAGTCGGGTTTAACCCATTTCTTGTTTGATCTGATGGGTGCCTCAGTACTTGCTTTTGAACTTGAAGCTGGCCGTCGAGATGGCTTTGACCTAACCAGTCTTTGTTTCACTGGAGCATCTCTTGGATTGGACTTCTTAGCTGGCATTCCCTTATTGACCTTGGGATTTTGATTCTTGGTCTTGGGAGTTGGATTCTTGGCCTTGTGAGTTGAACTATTTCCCTTCGTGGCATTCCAGTCGCCATTGTCTGAACGTGGCCTTGAGGGGTTTCTTTTGGAAAATCTCCCTCTTGGCTCGTTCTGCCACCCTTGTGCGTAGTAAGGAACGTATGGGCGATTTGGACAGTTTCTGGCAACGTGTCCAGGTGTTCCACAGTGAAAACATGTCTTTTTCTTCACTGGGAAGTTGTTTCTTCCTGCCCCTGGTGGCGTACCCTTGCCTTGTTTCTGGTTGTTCCCACAAGCACACTTGCAACAGGTCGTCGATTTCGCTTGTTTTGGTGGCCTGTATTTACCAACAACATGTTGATTAGAAGCAACATATTCAGAGTTCAAGGAGTCATTTGTTTGTTGAATGGAGTTCTCCTTGTTCTCATCATCCGCTACTTTACCTGCACATGAAGTAGAAACATCAGTATTCTTCACCTCAACACCCTCAGTTGGTCCAGATGGTTCAGGTCTTAACTGAAACTGGAACATGGGTTTGGCCAAACTGAGTAGGAATTTCTTCCTCATTTGTCTCAAGGGGTGGGTTATAGTTGTCATTGAAGGGAGGTGGTACACTGTGATACCCTAACCCCTTAGTTTGATTATCTTTGAATGTTAATTGTTTTTCAATCATTGATGCAACTACCTTACTTGATACATCAAATTTCTTAAAGTTGAATTCAACATCATTATATTTTGCTTTTAATGCATTAAGTTCGACAATCACATCATCAAAATCTTTCTTAAGATATCTATAATGAACGCATTTGTCACTATACTCTGACTGTAATTTCTTAAAGTCATTAGTCTTGGCCTCTAATTGTTCTTTTAATGGTTTCAGGCCTTTCCTAAGTTATTTAAGTTCCCCATTTTCTCTTTTTAATAAATCGATGTGTTCATGTAAATTTTTAACAATTTTAAAGCAAGTTTGAGAGCACGAAATTTCATTGACCGGAATGTTTGAGGAACTCATTGTTTAAAAAATATGCCCTTTGACTTAAAACTCAAAAGCAAACCTTAAAAGTCAAACTTGAAAAGTCAAACCGAAAAGTTAAATTTGAAAATTTGAAAGTCAAACGAGAAAATCAAAGTTTAAAGTCAAAGGTCAAACTTTAAAGTCAAAGTCAAAATTTTAAGTCAAAAGTCAAAAATAAAAGTCAAAAATTAAAAACTAAAATTTTTGGATGAAAAATGGATTTTAAAATTAAAAGAAATTGATTTTTGGGCTGAAAATGACAATATTGCGAAAATAGGATCGAAATGGAGTCCTTTTGAATTAAATTCGGAAGGTGAATAAAATCTAGCAAGCTAGATGAGTTGGAAGGGGCGCTGGTTGTTGATGCGAGAGGTTGCGAGTTCGAATCTTGGCGACTCCAAAAATCCTTCCTTTCCTTTTTTAATGAGCGTTGAATGAGAAAGAGGCTCTGAACCAGCAAGGCGCTGAATGAGAGAGAGGCTCTGAACCAGCAAGTGGGCCGTGAAGTTCGAGAAACCCTAGCCGCAAACTGATTACGACCGTAAATGGGTTTACGGCCGTAAACCCTTCAATGGCCGTAAACACTGCTTCAGATGTCGTGAAAAACAACGTTTTTCACCCCTTTTTGCTCCAAAACTCGATCAAAAACTCGTTTTTATCAAAAACACAAATAACAAACCCCCTATTTTTCAAAGATCTATCCAAAAACGCAAAAATCCTTCAAAAATAAGATCAAATACGCTCCAGATCTGACAAAATTGATTGATACAATCCAAGCTCTGATACCACTTGTAAGTCCCCAATCTGCTTGTGTATCAATCAGATCCGTTTGATGGTGCGGAATCCCGATCAAACGGATGATGCCAGATCAAAATAGAAGAAGGAGAAGGAGAATAATATGAATCTTGAATGTATTGATGAATGAAATGATGCTCCTTACATAAGATTCACTTTCTCTCTCTAAAACACCTTAAAATACACACACTTAAGCTCCTCTCTCTCTCTCTCTCTCTCTCTCTCTATCACTCCTCACCCTAACACCTATATATATGACACATGGGCCGTGAATGGGTTCACGGCCGTAAACACAACCGTAAACACATATTACTTTACAGAAAAATACATTTTCCTAGAAAAGTAAAGTATAAACCAATATTTTAGATCCAATAGCATATGAACGCTCCAAACTAGAACCTTACTAATGGTTATGTTGTTTTTTAAAGGATCAAGCAAAGAGTATACCGATGTTGGGATCCGATCTCCAATCACTTAACCAAAGGGTTTCCAGCCTAACGGTATTATATGTTGTCCTCCTTCCTTAAGGTTGAGGGTTCAAGTCCCGTTGTGGACATAAGTGGACTAAGAAGTAGTTTAGAAATATAATAGATTTGCCATTTAAAAAAAAAAAAAAAAAAAAAAAGATCCCCAATCACTTAGAGATATCTTGTCATGTCATATTTTAGCAATACAAAATGTTCTCTTATCTCTCTAAATTTCATGTAAAATCTTCTTTGATTGTTTTTTTCTTAATTGATACACATGTCTCCTTGGATTTATCTTATATGGATGTCAAAAATGCTTTCCTTAATGATGATCTTGTTGAGGAAGTATGTATATATATATATATATATATATATATATATATATATATATATATATATATATATATATATATCCACCAAGTAGAGTTACTCACATACTCACATATATGTCATTGTTACATGTCGCAGAAAGTTTTCTATATACTTGAGCAAGCAACGCATGCTTAATTTGAAAATTTTAGCATCTAAACGAATGTTCTTCGTATTCAGCAATGTTATGTACATGTTGGATAATATATGGTTTTCTTTTGCAATTCTATCATTCTTAGATAGGTATTATATTATTTATTTGTATATGTTATAGCTATGAGTTGTTCTTCATCGTTATCGATTGCAACCTACATATCCCCTTTAAATGAACCAATCCTTTGGCTCATCTTCATCTTCATGATTTTCATATATGAATCACAACAACCATCTGTAATAATTGGCAACTTTACAAGCTTATCTACATTACCTATTGATAAAATAAAGCATCAACTACACATATTAGAAGATACATTCATTGATTTTCAACAATGAAGAGACATATATTAGACTAAGCCATGACTAGTCATATCAAGTAAAGCAAAATGGCGTTTTAATATAAAAAGAGGTACAAATGGAACAAGATGCACATATGAGGTGAAATGAAACTATTGATATAAATATTCAAAAACTAACACAAGTTTAAGTCTAGTAACCTAAACAGAAAATGTCCAAACTTTTTCATAAAAAACTACCAAGGATTCTGAAAATCAATACCAACAAGAGATTTCCATATCCATGGCTACTCAGATTTTATATCTTGTCCTGAAGCATTCGATCCATCATTTCCTTTTCCATCTCTTAACTGAAATACATCAAAACAGAATTATGATTCTTATATTCATTTTTTCAGTATTTTTTAATAACCAAAATCATTCTCTTAAAATATGATCTTTACCTGTTCCAAGACTTTCTTCTGGTAACGATAGCCCTGATTGGATAAAACAAAAACCAGATTAGTAATTTAAAATAAAAAAAGAGCAGAAGAAAACTTATAAATTTATAAATTTATAAATTTATAGTACCTTGTCTGTTCCATAAATGTAATCACAGTAAGTGAAGACAGATGCAAAATTGCTTTGACTTTGTCCACCAACATAATGGTGATAATCATGATAATCAGCTCCACCATAGAAAGGGATAAATTTTGTGAATGTCCAGGGGAAATCATATCTGCAAAAGTGTATTTACTATTTGTTGCTTAAAATTTCAATGTAAATATAACTTTGATGATATGTTTGGCCTTTGAGGGCATCACAAAAGAAACAAAAAAAGATGTAGAAAGCAAAACACACACAAAAAGTAGGGTAAGGAAAAGGATGGGTGGGGTTAGAATGGGAAAAGTAATTTGATCATTTTCCATGGCCAAAAGTCAATTTTTATACTTAAGATCATACTATTTTTAATCAGGCCTAACTTTAATCCATTATTAATCATCAATTCATCAAAAATAAAAGTCTATATCAAAAAGTTGAGTTTAATGCAAAAGCATGCTTACTTATAACTTATAGCTTTGAACTTTACTACTTACCCACTGTGAGTCTCGATGGCTTCAATCTGTCTCAAAGCAATCCACAGCCAGAATGTAATCATATGGCCAGGAACCATGGCGGGTCCCAGAAAAGATGGAATCCCAAGGATCAAAACCTCAGCCCAATGTGCATATGGAGCTGCATATCCTATAGGTGATGTGTATTCATGGTGAACTTTATGAATTTTTTCATATCCCCATTTGCAATGTAAAAATCTATGGATCCAATAATTTGTGAAGTCTTCAACAAGAAAATAAACAAACAATTGAGAGATGATCTCCATTAGTGATGGCAGGGGTAAGCTTGTCCGGATACCAATCATCTGAAAAAAGTAATTTTTAGTATGTTAGTCAATATTCCTACAGATTTTTAAAGTGAAAGTAAGATATTCCCAATCATCTGCAAGGGGAAAAAGAAAAGTAGTAATGCATCATGTAGCTTTTTCCTTAATGTCCCAACAATCAAGATAATAAAAGAAAGAATTAAATTTGAATAAAATTCTGGGAGAGACTTGGCACATGGATTGAACTGTGAAGTCATAAGTGCCTGGATATCACTTGATTAGATGAGGACTGTAAAAATGAATCTTGTTTTCCTAGGCGTAATGATGCTATTTGATAAATAGATTTACACTGTATTAAAAGATCAATGGAATCAAACACAGAATATAAAAGATTGAAGTGAGATTACACATTTGTTCTGATCGAATCAAACAACAAAAAGATGACATGGAACTAATAAGAAAGATCCAAGAAAATGGAAATCCAATCGTGTAAAATTGGCAACCAATATCCACAAATTCGGTCCGAAATTTACATAATTAGATTGCTAATAGAAGTAAAATCACCAAACTACGTTAAGCGTGCTAAGATTGAAACTTATAGACCAACTGTGATTCAGGTAAGTTAAGTAAAGTTCGTAGTCTACAGTAACAATCACAAAAAAAGCCATAAACAGATTAAAAAAAATATGAACTTTGTATTCAAAATGAGATTGAGATTTCAACTGAAAAGGAGTCCACGGCGTGACTAAGAAGAATAAAAAAAAGAATAGTGAAGTCGCTTATTGAAGCCAACAATATACAAAATAAAAGTGATTTTCAGCTTGAAAACAATAAGATCAATAAAAAGTGAACTCGATGTAAGTCCGCAATCACAAATCAGTAAACTAGGTCAAAAAAATACAAAAATCAGAACTCCCAACCATATACGAAAATCGAAAAGACTTACTTTAATCGAAGGATAGGAGACGAGTTGGAGAGGTCCAACGACGAGGAGGAACATGCGCATTACATCGAAGTAGCAATTGAGATTATCGGCGAAAGAGAACTTGACTTTGGGTTGAATTTTGTAAGCGATAACGTTTTTAGAGAAGAGGAGTTCGATGAAAACGTAGAAGAGAGGGACGATAGTGAAGACGAGGAAGAGGAAGAGAATGTTGTGGCAGTAGAGGAAGTAATCCGATTTGGTGGCTGAGTAATTGAACCAAAAGGTTTCGGCGGCGGTAAGTGATCGGCCGATGGCGGTTTCGGCGTCTTGTAGGGAGGCGTAGGGCAGCATTTTGTGGTTGTGGGAGAAATGGGGATCAGAGGCGACGTGAACTAGAAAGAGGAGTGGGTTATTTCTGTTAAAATATTGGGGGGAAACTGGAAAGCAAGGGAGCTATGGTGGTGAATTCCTACACGTCTTTTTCTTCATTGTGTTTATATAAATCTCTAAAAACTAAATTCATAAAATATTGGACAAAACATAGAAAAACAATTATATTGGAAAAAAAGAAACTTATATTATTTCTATAGATAGATATAGATATAGATTGTATCCAAATTCCCAATAAGAGTATATTAGTCAATCGTTTAAGTGATGTTATAGTTGTTGTTGATAGTACATGCATAGAAATATAAAACTCGATAGAAATTAATATGGTTGTGATCGAGTTTTATATTGTGATACATTATAAGAGATCAAATATATGACATTGTTACTATCAGGTAATATTTAATTGTTATATCAGATAAATAAAATTGAATGATATATTTTTGACAATAAAAATTTATATAAAATCGATAGGTAAAAAGATATGTATTTTTTTATGAATAAGGAAATAATGTAAATGTTTTTTTTTTGTTTTTTTTTTTGTATATGATTACATATTATGTTTTTTTTTAAATGTATTTACCTCTAAAATATTATATTTATTATATATAAATTAAAAAAATTAGCTTATACGTCTAAATACATGTTTTAGCTTGTTAGTCTTTGGGAGAGTTCTAAAACTTTGGGTGAATTTTTTTTGTTTAAAATACTACCAACTATAATAATTTACACTTAATTTTTTGTTTATGCTACCAACTAAAAGTAAGTTCTAATTTTCCATAACAATATACCAAAAAGAGTATATTTATTTTTTGTTGGTTGCTTAAAAAAATCAAATGGAATTATGATTTTCCTGAAAAGGTTAATTACTAAAAACACGAATCGAACAAAAGAGGCTTCCTATTTTATTCAAATTAAACAAAACGTATGCATTCTGAAAAGTATATCTTTTATGTTAAAATAGAAAATTCTGTTTAGGCATCACGTTTTCATGAATGCATTAGTTGATTAAAATTAGGAGTGTGGTTATGGCCTTATGAGTAAATAGCCCGACCTACCCACAAGCTATTTGGGATTTTGGGTTTGTTGTTAAATGCTTGAGCTCAACTCCAAACTTGTTCAATTGAGTTCCAAAATTTATATTAGCTTTTTCCTCTATTAAGTTGAATCTAGTACGATACAAAACTTATAGTAGACTTCTTCTATCTTTAGATGGGGCATACTCTTGGTTTACTTTATCTTTCTTTGCCTAAACCTTAATTTTCATAAAGGTTTAAAAGAATTTGTGGCCATAGGGTAGCTCGGTAAATGACAATCATTTTCTCAAAGAACGGTCTAAGGTTGATTAGAAAACCATCTGCTGAAAGTAAGGGATAGGTTTGAAGCACGAAGATATATAGCGTGCTGAGCAAGACCAATTCAAGTTTGACCCTACAAAACTAGTATGAGCTAAAACTTTTTTACATATAAGCAGAACTGATCAATAGGTTTTTCATGTGTTGGATGAAACGATTTAGTTATGCATCATTTATTTGTACCGAACCAATATACAAAAAAAAAAATCAAAAATCAAAAAATACAACACATTTTCTTTTCAAAAATGTTTGTATTCTTAAGAACTAAATGCATTTCAGCCGTCCTGCAACTCTCTGTTTTTGCAAAGATATGGAAGAGGGCTTGCCCTTTGGACCATATACACTGTAGTATGCTGCATATCTTGTCCTGATCAACTCCTAATTAAAACCCCAAGAGTTGAACATTGATATGAAGAAACCAATGATTTACCCGGTAGACCGCTATTTGTATCCATAAAAACTAAAACTTATAAATTAAGTAAAAACATCAACTATCCAATAGTCAGTATATTAATCAAAATAGTTGAAGAAGCAAAACGACCTGAAAAACGATATACATACAAACATAAAGTTGAATAATACATAATAAATTTACTCTAATTTAATCTTTATAATGAATTAAACAAATTAATCATATCAGAAATTTGGCAATTCATATTAACAAATCGTTGGTACTTTCACTATAATTAATAAATAGACTCTAAGAGAACTGTGGGTACATATTCACTAATAGTGTTGGACTATTGGTAATTCACTTTAATCTATTTAACTCTAGCAAGAACCAAAAGCCACCCTTTTCTATACTTTTATATACCTTTTTATACTTTAAGAAAAGTTAAGCAATTTCAAATTACAGATTGAATATTCAAACCAAACGAAGTGACCCTTACTTAGTAAAGTAAGTATAAAATTAGCAACAATTAGTGAAAACTAAATAAAATTAGCAATTAAACAAACTGATATTACATAAATTTATATTTATAAATACTAACAGCAAGAAGAAGTTATTTATCATGAGAACTCAAGGTCTACTGGTCGAGTTGTATGATATTAAGGGAGAATGACGCTAGCAGATTAAAGATTTAGCTCATGCTTTCATGGCCAAATGAGAGAATAATAAACGGGATAAAAAAAATACTCAAATTAAAATGGACATAACTTTTGATCCGTTTGGAATTTGGAGGCCTACTTTAAATCGTCAAGAAGCTCTCTTCGGGCTGGAGCTCCTAAAATACCTGCAAAGACGGTTTGCCCAACCGTCGTTGCGAAAAATGCTCGTTTCCCCTTCAATTTCAACTTCCCTCTGATTTTAGCCGATTTTCTTATTCTGTTTTATTTAGAGGAGTTGTGGTTTCCCAATTTTTTTTTTCATATTTAGTTAGATCATTAACTACTAGAATTTGTTATTAATTTCATGTTTCCAAAATTTAGACACGATAAAAGCCTACTTTATGAAGTTTCAACTCTTTTGTGTTTGTTTATTTCTGTTAGGGTAGTGATTTGTACACAACATTTTGTAACCATACACAATTGCTTATGCATTAAATTGTTGTACTATACAACTGTATAAAACATAAATTGTTATGTATGACTAAAAAGTTATTGTGTAAGATCACCACCTTTTCTGTTATGCATAGGTTTTTGTCTCACCGCCAATGCCCAAACAACCATCCTACCGACGTTGCATTGAGTTCTTGTCCAAAGAAGAAAAGGAAATACGATAACCAAAACCAAGTAAGACTCAAATTATCGTTTCAATAATTAATCACCACCAACGCATTCTAGATGAAAGACAAAAAATTGCTTGTGAGAAAGGCATACTACTCAAAAAGACATTCATATATATATATATATATATATATATATATATATATATATATATATATATATATATATATATATATATATATATATATATATATAAAGGGAAAAGTTCAATAGAGAACCATAATTATTGGTTCTTTAAGGAACCAAATCCTTTTTTTCAATTTCTACAGCTTATTCTTTACCGAAAAAAAAATCTAAAAATATCTAAATTCATATATTAACATTGTGAATGTGAAAAATATTTTTCGGATTCACCGTGTGAATCCGGATTCACGTTGTGAATTTTCAAAGATTCACATTGTGAATTTGACGTAAAAAAAATCGAATTTAATATCATTGGAAAAAGGATAAAAAGTTATGAATTTCTGTATTTTTAGTTTTTTTTGATAAAAAATAAGTGTAAAAGTTGAAAAAAAGATTGGTTCCTTGGTTAATTATGGTTCTCTATTGAACCTCACCCGATATATATATATATATATATATATATATATATATATATATATATATATATATATATATATATATATATGGGTTCAAATGTTATTCACATCTATTGTCTGCTAGAATGCACAAATAAAAATTTAATAAAATTATATGTATATTAAATGATATCCAAACTTATAATTCTTTTTTATGGAAACTAATTTAATTCACCGTTAATGTCAACAATAATATTTTTTCAGAATGAATTCGTATCTAGAAATTGAGAGTGTATTCTAGCAGAATGAGAGTGTATTATAGTAAAATACACTCTCGTTATTAATATTCAATGCAACTTTATTGTATTTTAAGTGACTGAGTCCTGAAACAAAAAATGAATTCATACATAAAAACCTAGATGTGAATTCATTCTAAAATAATGTTATTGCTGACATTAATGACAAATTTAATTAGTTTCCATAAAAAAGAGAATTATAATTACGGATATCATTTAATATACATACAATTATGGAAATCATTTAATATCTATATTTATTTAATTAAATAATTATTTAATTATACTAAATTTCTATTTGTGCATTCTAACACACAATAAATGTAAGAAACACATTAACCTAGCCCTGTTTCAGTGAAGACTCTCTTTAAAGTGATGACTCGTGAGGACACCTTAAAAAAATTGAAAAAAAATCTAAAAAAAAAAATACAAATCATAAAATCTGTAACGCCCGTAGATCCGGGCTAGTCAATTTAGAGATAATAGGGGTCGAAAACGACTTTTTGACAAAAGATTATTTAGAATAAATAATCTTAACCAAGTTGTAGAATACGTCTCAAGGGTTCCGTACAAATGAAGAACGTTGAAATCCGAGTTATAACGAAGAAGTTATGGTCCGTCGAAGTTTTATGGCAAAACCGGCACGACACCGGGAGACGTAAATAGTGAATTTACGATGGATGACTTTTTAGCCTTAGAAATCTAAACAAAAGTTGTAGTATACGTTAAACCGAGAACATAAAAAAAAAGAACGCCCAAATCTGACTTCGTATGAGGAAGTTATGAATTTTCTAAGATTTGGCTTAGCAGTGCACAGCCCGAAACTCGAATTTTAGATCGAGCGGTTTTTGGCCTACGCGACCTAAATGAGAATTGAAGATCTCATTAATAGGAACTCAACGGTAAAAAGACAGACGAAAACAGAGTCCGTGTGTAGAAGTTATGAATTTTACGCGGACATTTAACAGTATAATCTCCTCGTACTGTTAAATTTAAGATCGGTCGAGAATTAGCCGACGGTGTCAAAATGAAAGTTGTAGATCTTATTTCTACCTACGCGTGGATATAAAGAACGTCAAAAACGGAGGTCGTATGTGAAAGTTACGGATTTTAGAAGTCGGAAGTGTGTTGTGCGAAAATGGGTGATGTGACACAATCTTGGCCATTGCTTTCTCCCCAAGTCTTGCCACTAGATGGTG